GAGCGACGTGCTCTCGAGGGGGATCTTGACTAGATCCGCAACGTTGCCCAGCTTGTCATCTCGGACATCTTCGGGTCGGCGCCCAGCACTAGCGCTCCCGTAGTCTAGCTGGCGGAGGTCCCGGATGTGGTTCAGGACCTTATCAGGAGCGGGCTGTTCTATGGGGCGTCGGGGGTGCTAACTTCGGTGGCGACGCACCATCCGAACCTAGACTTCGCTGCCATCTGCAGCGGGTATGCTGAAGGTTTGAGCATGGAGGACATCCAGTCGATCGAGGAGGGCTTTCTGCCGCACGCAAGGTCGGTGGCAGATCAGGTCTCTGCCCAGTGGGTGATGGACGTCCGCCGTGAAGATATGGCCAGAAGCATGCGCGGGGAAGACGCTGCCCAGCCTGCGGACGACGTGGAGCCTGGGTCGGTGGTGAACGTCACCCCGGTTTCGACCGAGCCTAATGTTGTGCCGCCGGGGAGTGAGCAGCATGCTCCCTCGTCAGTCGTACCGACAGCAGATGCCGCCGGGCCAGTCCAATAGCTTGTGAAATATAAGTAGTTTAGTGAGCGTAGAAAGTTTAAGTTCGTGGGGGAGTCCCCGTGTAAACGTTCCTGTGTGCTTAATGACTGTGGTATGTTTTGTTTTCTATAATGGAGTCACTCCGTTCGGGGAAGCTTGTTCCCCCTTTGTTCCTTAGTTTTCCCTTAGCATAATTTTGTTTCTTTATTCTTTCTTTCTCGTACCTGCCCGTTTGTCCCGTGGGCTGCGACCTTGGGAGCCCGGGGCGTGGCCCACGGGGCTCGACTGTTCGTAACCGTAGGGAAAGGCGGGGTGCGATCGGTCGGAATGTTTTTAAAGCAAAGCTACATAAGGCAAATTAAAGGAACAAACTATCATTTTGGTTGGGTAGGAAGGAATTTCACCATATGATAGTAAACAAAACAAAGAGGTAGTAGTGTACCCTAGTGGAGCCCCCGAGCGCCTCGGGCCGAAAGAGTGTTCGGGTCGGGGTGCTCTTATAGGAGCGTAGGCTAAGTAAACAATGGTAAGACTGAAACTTAGGGAAAAAGCGACATAGCTGTTCCAGGCGTTCGGGGAGAAGGGCGTCGTTGTTGTCCTTCGGTCGGTAGGCGTCTGGTCGGATCACTTCGTTCTTCAGTTGTCTGAATCCTTGCCCGCCATGCCCCCTTTCATGGTTGCTGCTTCTTTGCCTTTTTCTTTCTTTGGCCTGTCGGTCTGTCGTAGAAGGCGCTTGAGGAGCTGACAATCCTTGTAGAGGTGTTTTACGGGGTAGTCGTGGTTGGTGCACGAGCTCTCCATGAGCTCGTGGAAGTGGCCCGGAGGGTCCTGCGGGGGCTGCGTGCCTGCTTGATTAGCCGTGTCGACTAACACGGAGTTGGCCGGTCGGTGGCGATTCTTTCTATTCTTTTTCCCCCTCTACGTGGAGGGGCCCCATCCTGATCCTGGCGCTTGCCCTTGCCCTTGCCTCGGCCTCCGTCGGAGCGCAGCGGGGGCGGCGTTTGTCGGGGGTTTTGGACAAAGGTCCGCGGTCCCGGGCCATCAAGACTGGGACTCCGGTCGCTGCTGCGTGTGCCTCGGCTCGGTCCGAGCCGTGCATACACAGGAGGACGGTGTGGAGCGGTCTTTAGGTCAAGACAAGGTGCCGATGCGGCCTCCCGTACCACACTCGACGATTGTAGCGGCGATCAGGTGGAGCGTCCCATCTGCTACGTCCCCGTTCCCCTGACGGGGAGCGAGGCTGCGAGTCAGCGTCGCGATATGGAACACTCGGCTTGTTGAACGGCGGCGGTCTCCACTAGTGCCCGAAGGTTCCGGTGGATCGCCTGTTCATGAGGGTCGTTCGGCTCGGACAGGCCACGCAAAAGCATTGCCGCGGCGGCGATGTTCTGGTTTGCCCGAGCGAAGTGCGGGGGATCGTTCCCCCTATCCATGGTGTGGTGCTAGACCCGATGGGCGCGACCCCGAGCGCCGCTCACTGGTCTACACGCACGGGGCGCAACGAGGTGCGCCGAGCATGGTGGCACAGTCGGTGGCTGATGCAGCCACCGTTGTCGTAGTTCCTCCCCGTGCTCAAGTGTGAGCTCGGGGGTCTCTGCGTGAGGGTCCGGAGAGGTGTGAGTCTGTGAGGACTCCGCTTCCGCCGGTGGGTGTCCCGGAGCGTCCGCCATGGCGCACTCCCAGGACGAACGGTGGCTAGACGCCATGTCGCCGATGCTGGAGCCGTCACTCTCGCCATCATCATCCATGAGGTCGAGGAAACAGGTGGGAGCATAGCTCGCCATTCCCACAAATTCGGATGCGAGAGGGGGCGGTGATGGCCTCCTTTGGAGCCCCCGGGCGTATGCATCCGCGGAAGACACGAGGCCATAGGGGGACCAGTCGTACGGCGGTTGCGTCAGGGACAACAGGGTTCCGTCGGGTAATCGGCGGAAGATAGAGAATAGTAAGTAAATAACAGTGTGTACATTACTCACAGCGGGGTTTGAGCAGAGAGTTTACTTGGAAAGAAGCGCAGATGCCGCGTCGTCGAAGTCATGCGTCCCGGAGTTGATGGAGGGCGCCCCTCCGACGGGTGCCGAGACGTGAGCCTCCTTGCGGAGGTGCAGTTCGCTGAGCCGGTCGGCGACGAAGTCCAGGCTTCCGGAGAGGAAGGCCTGGGATGGCTCGAAGACGGTCGGGACCCGCATCCCAGCTGGTGAGAGCGCGGGAAACTCCAGCGAGCCGAAGTGAATAGTATCGCCCGAGCCCGCCACGGCGAGGGTGGCAGAAAAGTGGGTCATCCGATGACCAAAAAGTGTTGAACGTACAGCGTCTTCCCCAAGGACGGCGCCAACTGTCGGTGCAGAATGTGACCAACTACTAAATATTTGTAGTTTTGCCGTACGTTGTGATCGGAGGTGGCCTAGCACTCAATGACACAGGGTTTATACTGATTCAGGCAACGTGCCCTACGTCCAGTTTGGGTCAGTTAGTCACTTTATTCCTGAGCCCATGTGCTCGAATTTTGCAGTGGGGTTACAAACGAGAAGGAGAAAGATGGGGTGTACAAGAGGTCCGGTCGGCTCCGGTCGGAAGGGCCAAGAGCGACAGGAGCTACGCTATGAGCTAAGTGTTCAAGCGTGTGCTTGGGGTACGAACCTGGCGGTTCTGTGGTTGTGAGCTGATGAACTCGATCGATGTTGGTTTACTCAAAAGGACTAAAGAAGCTCTCCTTTGTTGGAGGGAGCACATCCCCTTTTATAGATAAAAGGGATGGCTTTACAAGTGAGAGGGTGAGGGTATGTATGCTACTGGGCTCTGTCACCCATGTCGGCGGGTATAAGATAATGGTAGGCGCCAACAACACTATTGGTCGTCACTGTAGAGTGCTAGATGTACGTGGGAGGTTGCGTTGCCTTCTTCAGAAATGGCAGATGTCGATACGCGCCCTGGCTTGCTTTCTCCGTTCGTCCCTGGCTCTTTCTGGGCGGGTGTCCCCGGTCGGATGGCCCCCGTTGGCCCTGGTCGCGCCAGTCGGAGAAAAGAGCGGTGAGCAGGGTTTCTGCGCACCCCGGTCGGAGACGTGGGGTCAGAGTCGGAAGTAGCGCTTGGGCCAGGCCTTCGGACCGGAGAGGCCGTCCAGAGGCGGCTGGAGTCCGAAGCGAGCGCTCCGGTCGGAGAGGTGAGCCGAAGTAGTCGACGAGCGGGGGCCGTTCCTCTTCGGTCAGACCTTCCGGTCGGTGACTGGACCGCTCTTCCGGCCTGTTGTTTTTAGACTCTTGGGCCGGCCCATGAGTTGTGTGCTGCCTGCTTGGGCCGAGCCTTAGCGTGGAAGCCGGTCCCCGAGAGACCCCGGGTTTATGAACCCGACACTAATAGAAAATAAGTTCCAAACACAATCTCTAAGTTTTCCACGTCCAAAATATAAAAAAAAAACCAAATCCGTTCGGACAAGGCATGAAAACCGGCCTGGCCGGTTTCTTCTTGCCAGGCATAGTGGCCGGCTGGGCACTTAACATAGAAACCGACCTAGCCGGATTGGGGCATAGGAACCGGCATGGCCAGTTTAGGCAGGGCAAGCCAAATTCCGTCCTTTTCTTTGCTTGTGCTTTGAATTTCATTGCACCAAATATTTTTCCAATACCTCCGTGGTGCCAAGAACTTATTAGCATTGTTCAATCTCCAAGTTGGCACATTTTTTGTGTCAACAGCAACCCTGCTTAATCTGTCTTAATTCCTGAAGGAATTCGACCTTTTGGTTACCCTGGGTCGATCCATACACCTTTTGAAGACCAACAGGATCAGGTGAATGATGTACCAGTTCGAAGAGACGTTCATCGAAAATACAAAATGGACGAATAGACGTTAGCAAATGGAATTAAGGAAGAAGACTTGTGCATAACAATGTTTCTCCAACTCAATTTCAGTTTATTTTTTTGGTGTGTGGGTTCTGAACTTTAGTTTGAAGAATGAACTTGCTCCAAGTTTCTCTACTCGTACAGTCATATATGGGTCCACAATACAAATGCGTAATACAAACGCATTTCCTAAAATTCTCTACAATGCACGTGGCTTATGTGATGCACAAAGTTGTAGTAATGTTTGTCGGTGCTAGCTATCACACGAAATGATGAAAATCTCAACAGCAAATTTTTGGCACATTTTAGAGAAAATATTGCTGCACGAATAGAAACAATTCCAATTTTCACGAAGGATTCTGGTAAAATTATGTACACATGCCACGGTGCCAGGTAGAAACACGAGAAGCACTGCACAGAAGTACGCATTCCCCTCAGAGGCTCAAACAACCACATTCAGACACTGCGAGAAGGCTCCTCAGGTGATCGTAGCTGCTCGCAGCTGCTTGTTGGCTATACTGCGATCTTACCTTCCAACAAATGCTTAGGTGAACCAGCAGCATAGGCTTCTAAACCTAGAAAAAAAAAATAACTTATGGCCTCAGATCACGAATCTTCTCACTAAATTGCGCTACCAGGTATTTCTAGCTGTCATCTGTGAGGTTGATCCTCGGTTATCTGCTGCAGCGGCGGCGGGCTCGACACGATATGACCATAAACAAACTCATTCCACGTGTCCGGCACACCAGGGAGGCACCAGTGGATGCAATCCGCGAACTTCCTCGGGTTCGCCTTCTGCTCTGCCGTCAGCAGCTTCCCCTGCCGCAGCGTGTGCACAGAGGTGTGCGCGTCCTTGCGGATCTCCGACATCGCAGTTATGTTGACGAAGTGCACCGGTACCTTCTTCATCGACCTCGTCAAGCGCTGAGCAGTCGCGAAGAGATCCCAATCCGTGCCCACCTCCAATTTTTTCGTGTAGTTGATTGCTGGCTGTGTCTCGGAGAAGCATTTTATGGCATTGGGGCTGCCCCAACCTTCACTCCTAGATCAAGACAATGAATGTGGCACCAGTGGTCAGATCCAGCATCGCCAGAGTAGTACATTTGTGCAACAACAAATGGTCCAAGGCATTAACACTAAAAATAGCATCATGACAACCTGTATTTTGAAACCAACAGCAATGTTGGGGGAAATTTTGCATCAATGTATGGATACTTACTGCATATGTACTGGTGACACACTCATGAAAAGGACCATTGTTCTCTTGGGATCTATGTGCGCCTCTACCCATCTAGACCATGTCTTGAGGACCTTCCGGTATGCCTCGACACGTTCTATTTCATCATACTTAACATGTTTCCTTGAAAAAGATCCACCATGCCTGTAGTCAAGGTAGCTTGTGTAAGAAGAATCAAACATATCCAGAACGTAAAGATCTTCGTATCACGTTCACGGCAAAAAAAAATTCCTAAGGTTAGTCCGTTGGTCAGACAAACTGTTTTCATTGTTCGCGAGGATTCAAGGATTAATGTCTACAGTTACTCACAAAGTTTTCATCTGTGGTGTGTTCATCCACCAAATGTAAGTATTGAAGATCAGGTAGTCCACCCCTTCCCAATTTGCTGCATGCTTCGCGATCGATGTTGGCTTGATCATGCGGTCACTGATGCTATGAATGTCTGGGTCATCTGAGTTTGACTCCACAAGGAAAGGAGCCCAATAGAACTCAACTGTTGCATTGTACTCCTGAAACATTCCATGTAAATAATTCCATCAGGGTTAACCATAAGACGCATAAGTGAAGATAGAGAGTAAAATCTCAGCATAAACAGAATTTGAGCATTCTTATCCTTTTTTTTTAATTATTGAGGCTGGCAATGTGATTTACTAATACAAACACCATTTGATAAGGCTGATTCCAGCCGGATCTTCAATGCTGATTTATTCTATGATCTCTAATGGATTTCAACCACTACTCGATGAGTAAGTATCTAAGTACCTGAAGATGGAACACATTAAGAGAACCATTTTTGACAAGAGACTTTTTGTCCCATGGAGCCTCTGACTGTACCAGGCACACCATGGACTCCCACTGGTTCCGATTCAAAGAATCCCCCACAAACATCAGTCTTTTGTTCCTCAGCTTCTCCAGAAGCAACTTAGCTTCAAATCTGTAACAGAATTGTCAAAACACACATCAGTTTCATAACAAAATTGCGCAAGATACATGTGAATCTGCTTTCAAGATTAAGCTTAGGCCACCATGGATTTGACAAGACTTTTCATGTGAGTTCTGCAACACTCTGGCTGAGCTACAAATCTAGGGGTTTTTCACCAGTATCTTTTCTACAATTTAACATCTGCACGATCCATAATGATAATTATATGCATTTTCAAACCAGGAGGCCCCGTAAATCAAATGTCCTGATTCATTTGCATGAAAGTGATGCATAGCATAACTTCTCTCCAACTTGAAATATACAACCATGGCCCATGGTGGGGACACTAAACATCGAACAAAACTCACTTGTCATAGAATAGACAACATGCAACAAAACTTACATGTCATAGAATTTCGGGAAGTAGTTATCGCACAAGTTGTGTCCAAATTCACGGTGGCTACTGATCGATGTGACTCAATGTGAAGTACAAATTTTTGATAAATTTCCAATGTTTTTAAGGTTTAGTCATGTAATATGTAGCAGGGGAACAGATCAGACCAAAGAGCATGCAAGTAACGATGCTTGCTTGTGCGCTACATATTTACCGAATGCATTACCTAAATTATATGGAGTGAATAATATTGTAAGTAAGCTCAAGAGCTTATAAGCTCCATGCATTTGAAAATAAATATACTAACAATTAGTAAACTGTGATGTAAGAAAAGCTTGTCCAACACCGGTTGAGATGGTTTGGACATGTCCAACGGAGACCTCCAGAGGCACCGGTGCGTAGTGGAATCCTAAGCCACGAAAGTAACGTGAAGAGAGGCAGAGGAAGACCGAAGTTGACTTAGGTAGAGGCAATAAAAGGAGACTTGAAAGGATGAAATATGCCCAAAGACTTAGCCTTAGATAGGAGTGCTTGGAAAACAGCTATTCACGTGCCTGAACCTTGATTGCTTCTGCTGGGTTTCAACTCTAGCCTACCCCAACTTGTTTGGGACTTAAAGGCTTTGTTGTTGTTGTTGTTGTTGTAGTAAACTGTGATGTGAGTGTGACTAGTTGTGCTCAACACTGATACATGTGAGCCCAGCCCTACCCAATTTGAAAGGTTCTAGGGTATATAAACAAATGTTGCTCGATTATTAGCTCATGTTTTGGTTGATTTTTTAGTATGAAGTAGGGTATTCACCAATTTAGAGCAACTCAAAGAGACTCTTTATATCCTTCATAGTTTATCGGAATAGAGATTTTGATGGAAAAATACCCTCCAACATCTTCTTTAATTGGATCTTCAAATATAGACATCCTCTATTCCGAATTTCTCACTAGCCAAAGATGGAGAGCGAAGATGGCTCCTTAGAGTGCGCACAAGATATAGAGAACTTGTTGGATGGTACAAAGATATAGAAAACGATTTTACTCAAATGACTCACCAAATGATGATTTAGAGAGTAAATTTTAGAAATACTCTAGGAGATGCTTTACCAACAAATATTTGAAGTGCAGATAGTTGTTAGCAGTTAGTTAGAACTAGAAGTTTATGCCACGTCATGCAACAACTCCCACTGTTTTTTTTTTCTTTTTCTTTTTTAGAGTCCAAACCCATTACCTCCCCATTCAACAACTTTCTCTAACAAACAGAACTTCTGTATCAAACAATAAATTGCTTAATATATTACAAGAAAGACCGGAGCTTGATGTGAGTGCGGTCTCTTTTTCTCATCAATTATAACACCTAACAAATTAAGTACCCCATATACAAATCTTAGTTGCCAAGAAACACAGCTAATGAGTACAAACTTTAACAGATCAACTTCACCTAACGTACTCTGCAGTCTAGATGCAGGGCAACCCTGTACAGCCACTTGCGTTGATGAAAATTTGAGCCTACTAACGACATTGGCGGAGCTCTGCGAAAACTAAGCACGAACACTCTAGATCGCACTGGCAACCATTGCAACAGTAAGATGAAAGGGTTATAAGTTACAGCAAGGCTACACTATGAGATGTTGGTAATGCTGGAAGCTGTATTATTTTTCATCCATAATTAGTTGTTACTACAATCATGAAAAATTGGGGCAATTGGTAGTGTTTTATAGTGAGCAATGGTACGGTGTTGAGACATGGAATGGAACAAGATGAGATAGCTACAATACACCTGTACTCCTGGCGCAAATGCGCATCCGCAGACAAGTTGGGCGTATCACCACGTCCACACAGAGCGCAAAAGAAAAATAAGACGAAACCACCCCCCAGATGCAGACACGGATCCGCTCAACAGACGCAGGTTCTAAACAGAAAAGAAAGCGCGAAGTGATCTGGCCACCCGCAGCCGCCCATGCGGAGCACGCGTCCACCACCCGCTTTCCAGTAATCCAGTCCGCAAGCGAAAGCGCGCACGCACCTACCCTACGTGCGCCGACGTACACGTATACGTATAGACAACGCATGTGTAGAAAGGGGAAAAGGATAAACGGAATGCAGTGGCAGGCAAGCAAGGAAGCAAGGCGGTGGTTGTACCTGGGGAGGTCGCAGCCGTCGGGCTGCCAGCGCCACTTCTGGTAGTCGTCGTCGCGGCGGCCGTTGCGCGTGCAGGTGACCTGCTCCGTGAGGAAGCTGCAGTCGGACTCCTTGTACAGCGGCGCGCGGGACTCGTCGTACACCCAGCGGCCCTTGTACAGGTCACAGGTCCCCGGGGGCTGCTCCTGCGCGCCGCCGTCGCCGTGGCCTCCGCTCCCTCCCTGCACCGCCTCCTCGATCAGCGGCGCGTCCTGCAGGGAGCTCCCGGCCGTCGCTCCAGGCTTCGCTGCGCCCTCCTCCTGCCGCTCGTGCGGGGTCGGGTCGGCCCGATCCGCGCCGTCAACTGGCGCCGACTCCGCCGCCCGCGCCGGCGGCGCGAGCGCGTCTACGGCCGCCGCCGCCGCCTCCTCCTCCTGCACGAAGAAACGGAAACCACCGTAGGTTTAGCTTACAGACAGCAGCCAACCAACCGAGCGAGCGAGAGGTTAGCAGGAACAGGAGCGGTAGGTGCCGACCATCGCGACGCTGGAGACGGCGGTGGCGCCGTCGTTGTCGGAGGAGGAGAGCTTGGCGTAGTTCGTCAGGCCGCCGTGCCTCCGCAGGGAGGCGACGATGTGGGCGCTGTCGTAGAGCACGGAGACCCCCAGCAGCGCGGCGAGCGCGAAGACCGCGGCCACCTGCACCCGCCTGCTGGGCACCCCGACAGCGAGCGGCCCGGCCCCGCCCTTCCGCCGCGGGATCCGCATCGGCGCGCGTGGGACGGAACCGACTCGATCGCCGGCCGCAGCTGGGAATTGGGGGTTCCGCCTTCCGCGACCGGCTGGACTCGCCTGCTGTATTCCCGCCGGGGACAGCCGCGGTTGATTCGCCTCCTCCGACGGCCGCGGCGGCGGGGGCTGCAACTGCTAGCAGGAACGGCAGGCAGCGGCAGGCCGGCAGCTTTCTTCGCTTTGCTCGGGTTCCTCGATGTTTATTTATGAGGCGGGGCACGCTCTTCAAGAGGGAGCGGAGGACAAGCGGGGTGGGTGGGCGCCACCCCGCGGGGTAGGGCAGGATGTGGTGTGGGCCCATGGGTAGCGGAATGCGTGGAGGGGAGGAGGGGCAAACGGGGTTCGGCGCTTTTGGTAGCCTGGGTGCTTTGTGAGCTGAGGCCCTCTCTGCGGACTGGAGGGTTTTTACTTTATGGCCCAAAGTGGGGTCCGGATAAATAAAAGTACTAGTAGGATCAATTATGGCCCAAAGCGCACGGTAATTACGCGATTCTTCGCTTGCCGCCATGCATAATCGCAGGAGGATGGTCCGGGTAAGTGGTAACGGTCAAAAGTGGCGCACTGCTCCATGCGACCGAGACGGCTGGTGCTGCCTTTGTTTTTGTGTTGGAGCAGCCGAGCAGGGAAGGTGATTGTGCTTCTAGGAAAGAAATACTCTACTCCATAATGTATCGTGCTTCATCCGTGTCATTGTTCATTTTCTTGTAGGATTACGGTGACCTCTCTTTAGACCATGTTTGGATCTATGTAGATAATAGCTATTTGTTAATAGTTATCTCTTAGCCGAACTTCTAGACAATAACTAGTTAGAACAAATCAGTTAATCGTTATGTTGGTAGTATTTTTCATTAGCTATGTATCCAAACACCCTCCAACTAATAGGTTAGCTAATAGTTAGCTAGCTAATATTAGATATGACCAATGAGCTAGCTAGAAGATAATGAACCCAAGAAGGATCTTCGAATTGGGAAGAAAATATTCCTAGAGTCTACGAGCGTGATTGGTTGCTCTGGGGGAGGGGATCCGGGATGGAGGGCTGGTCCTTGGCGGAGTGAGACAGGCTAAAACCATACACCTAGGTGTGTTTGGTTGTAACTCTGAGAGTGATACTGGATGACGGTGAGTTTGTTTTGGTTGCCTGCTTGCACCAATTTTAGGAATGAGCTGGTCCTCCTCCTTGTGTTTGGTTTGCAACATGGCACAAGGTGTGAGCACCCATGTATCACTTTGGTGAGGTTACTACCATTTTCATCCAAACAAGCATAACAACACAAACATTACCTCAGATCAATTTGTAATCAACTAAGACCTTGGAGCATAAGGGATATTACAAAATAATACAACAGTCCAACCAGCTATTAAACATCAACAAATCGGTCCCAGTACCTCACAAGGTCGAAGTAAATTGATGAGTACATGGTTATAGGTTAATCATCACAGGCAGTTCTTCCCACGTTTAACAATGTAAAAGATGAGCACCAGCAACATGAAAGACAGAACCATGCAAAGAAGAAATACCCAAGATGGTTTGGCAACGATAGTGGCAGCAGGCTTCTCAAGAACTTTTTCATATTCATAAGTGGTTAACAGATTGACCTCAGATAACAGTTTTTCCTCGGTTGACCTTGAGCTTGGAGCATAAGAAACACAAAAGGCAACATAGCAATGGTAAGAAACAAACATGAAAACCAATAAGAACTAGACTAGAGTTCCAGTACCTTACAAGCTCAAGGTCATCAGGTTTTTTAATCCAGTACACATGGCAGTTTAGTTATCATCATAGGCTTAACAAGAATATCAAAAACAATTACAAAGAAAATAGTTGGAACTGAGTGTCAGAAAAGCCATGAAGCCTTGGAACACATCCATCCCCTGCAATCATGCACTCTAGCCGAGGAGCAAGCAAAAATTCAGATAGGGATCATGCATTTGCGGAGTACCACATATTTAGATAAAAAATGTTAGCCGTACCCCAGATCTGAGTGTGGAACCAGAGGGAAACAACAAGGAACAAGTAGATCAGGAATAGCAGGTCATAGATCTGAGTATGTAAGAACAAGAACCCTAGAATCATGGCACAGCTCAAACAAAATCCGCACATAAATCAACAAAAGCACCGCACAAAGCGGAAGAGGAGAGAGGCGCAGGTGAGGTCTACTGTCGCGGCACCGGAGGTCCACCATGAATCTGCCGGTCAAGGTCGACTTCGGCGGTCAACTGAGATCGAAGGGGAGCAAGAGGAAAGTCTCACTAGAGCAATGGAGGAAGGAGAGACGCGAAACGGGGGGGTGGTAACCCTAGCCAACACTCACGCTCGCCGGGACGGGGGCATCTCCCGCACTCGCCCGAAGCATTCGCGCCAAGCATTGAGTCGTCCTGCATCGAGAGGGAAGTGGAAATCGAGAAGACGGAGGCGTGCGAGATGGAGGGGGTAGAAGTACAAGACTGAGCAGACGAAAGATGTGAGGAGGGAAACCAAACACGACGCTGGAACGAGGCCACCCAGGTAAACATTGCGAGGACGGCCCGCTCCGGGCTACCAATCAGCCCCTACATAGGTAGTACTACTTGCGTAATACGTAACTCACTCTGTCTAGAAAATGATAAGCATATTTATAACTTCGTTTAGAAATAATTGCCCTGTTCGTTTCGCTGAAATTTGGTTTATGCTGATTTGTTGTGAGAGGAAAATATTGTTTGTTCGCTAAAAAGTACTACTAGTGCTAAAGAACAGGACGAATATGTATACTTAATCCGGGAAAAAGTCAAATCTTACAATTTTATCAACAATTTGTTATATACGGGACATGAAATTTGTACTAATAGATTTGTATTTGAAGTAATTATGAGATGATATTATTTTTTTAGCAATTGACTATATATTATAAGGAAAATCAAGAATTAATGTCACGTCCCAAAGTCGTTCCAACAAAAACCCTTTAATAAAAATTCTCTAAAATCACCGAACAAATGTTCTCAAGCTCTCAAATATCGCTTTATGGCTCTCTAGACGAATCCTAGCATTCTTAACTGGGACAAGGACCCCAAACTCGTAGCTCAATCATTCTAAATCTCGCAAGTCGATCAAACGAAGTCAACTTGGAGTCAACAACAGTCAAAATTATATATTCAAATTTTGATCCAAACATGATTGATCATACGATGGATTATTCTTGATTACCATAATTTCATAATCCGGGTGAGACCAGATTATAGGGGATTCTGGATGCTAAATGTTCGTCTAGCCCTCAAGTAATTGTCCAACTTACCAAACTATAAAGGATAAGATAGGAATTTCAGAATTTCTTATTTTAACCAACCATAACCAATCATTATAATCCATCGACCCAAACATACTGATATTATAATCTACAATCTTAACTATAATAATCAAGTTGTGATCTAAACTGGGCTACACCACATACACATGCTGTGAAAAATTAAAGCTGTATCGACCTCAACCATTTAATGCTCCTAAACACGCTGTTTGCAACCTTGTAGTTATGGCTGGGCATTTTATTTTACTAGTATAGCACAAAAACAGTTCGACGAAACGAGGCGTATTCTTGCACGCGCACACGTGGGCAACGCATGCTATGGTGCAAGACTACAAAATGATTTTTGTTCTGGAGTTGGCCAAGGCGCCTAGCCGACAGAAAAATCAGGCGGAGAGTCGCCTTCTGAATTCTGATTCGTCTCTCGCTGGGTGGCCTGGCATGGACGGTTCTTTCTTGAAGCCTGCTCTGTTTGCCAGCAGTCTCGCCGTTATCCAGCGTAACATTTTAAGGGCTTACGCTTAAAATGTTACGGTGGTGGACGACACCGTAACACTTAACCGGTGGTGGACAGGCCCAGGCGGTCCTCCCCCTCTCTGTAAAAGCGTAAAGTGTGGACGGTTGCATGAGAAAGCAAAGGGCGCGGAGCCGAATGGTGGGTTATTACTGGGCAAAATTCTGCCGGACGTTTTCCTCTGTTGTCGGCTGGTGCCTTGTACAGTGAATTTTAGATGGTTTTGAATAATTGAATAGTATTATGTGAGAGAGAATAAGCTAAAACAAGCCACCACCTGACTAGCCGAACGCGCTGAATAGTCATGGTCCATGCCCTGTTCATTTGTCTAATAAGCCCATGGCTGAAAATGTTGTTGACTAATTTGTTGTGAGAGAAAATTACTCTTCGTTGGCTGAAAAATTACGACTTATAAACCAAACAAACAGAGCTAAATGATAGGGCGGGATGTTGCAGATTTATGGGCAGACTCTGCTCTACATTCGAGCTCGTGCCGGGTATTAGTCCTGTCACAGAACGGCGAGTTATTACTGGCCAAAATCCTACCGGACGTTTTCCTCTGTTGTTGTCAGTCCTTGTACTGTAGGCGAACGGGTCCAAGTGTCCAACATCAGACAATAGTCGTGGCCTAAATGGTAGGGCCGGATGCTCAGTCGAGCTGTCACTTTCAGTAACAAATAATAGAGTTGGTTTTATTTTTTAAGACGCGGGAGTGTTTTGGTTCCTACTAAAATTTAGTCTATATCGCATCGAAGGTTTAGATACATGTATAGAGTATTAAACATAAATTAATTATAAAACTAATTGCACAAATTAAGACTAATTTATGAGACAAATCTATTAAGCCTAATTAGACTCATGTTTAGTCTTTCTAATTAGTATCAAATACCCGATGTGACATCTACTAACATTAGTAGAGAAACGAGTTGTACTACTGGTTCTCAACCCCCTTCAGTCCTAGTTTTGGAACCAGGAGCACGAATCCGGGACTAAAGGGCCCCTCCTTTAGTCCCGGTTTCGCGCCCGGGACTAAAGGTCCGCCTTTAGTCCCAATTGGTAATACCAACCGGGACTAAAGAGGCCTCCCGGCCTGGCCACATGGGCCGTCCCTTTAGTCCCGGTTGGTATTACCAACCGGGACTAAAGGTTTCATTTTTTTTTATTTTTTTTGTTTATATTTTCAATTG